ATATATAATTATATATTTTATCCATGATAATGCTATGGTTTTTTTTTTATGTGATGCAAACTTAATACTTAAGTTTATACAGGGAAAAGAGCATCTCAATATTCACAAATTGGTGAAAAAACTGAAAGTTAATAATGTAGTACCCTCATTTCTTATTGGATTCCTCAAAAACAATATTTATAATGAATTTTAATAATTTTTTCGGATTTTTTTTAAGCTTTAATCCGACCGATTCAGCGGATTCGCCGATCCGAATCGGTTTTTTGAGGTGCCCGATCCGGGTCACCGATCCGCTTTTGAAATCATTGGTACATACCAAATAGCTAAGAAAATAATATTATGCAGAATATGTTAATTTTATATAAGATGGTCTACTTAGATAAACTTAAATGTTATCCAAACAGGCGTTTGATATTGAATTTTGAATTGTAGGACATTGATGGCTTTTTTAGTTTCCTGTTTCATGAATACGTTATTAGAACTTCTATACATACATCAAGTGCACTATGTGAATCATATTAGCAGCCAAAATTTTCTTTATCCTTCTAAAATTGCAACCGTTCTTTAAAATTAATTTTGAATTGTGGGGCATACTAGTATGCCTTTATTAGTTTACTGATTCATGAATGCACTTTTAGAAACTGCAACACATACATTAAGTTCATTATGCAATTCAATTTTAACTGAATTCATCACCACCACCTCTTCATTGTGTTTTTGGATTCCTAAACTTGAGGTGCCCAGCCAGACATCCGAGAAACTGCCTTAGTTACCAAAAGGTGCTGTGCCTAAAAGGTTTTCAAACAGTGGAAAACATATTAAAGTAAAAGATCTTACATGATATTTGAACAGTGCATATGGTGCTTAATTATGCTTGAGTTCTACGTAAATAGCAACCACCATGCTTTCCACATGGAGCAAAACCTGAGCTGAGATCTTGGCTCTTCATTGGCGTGACATGGAGGAGGAGAGGCTCTCTTTGGTGACATCTTTTCAAAAATCTCAAGATTTCTTTTTAACCTCCTGTACTTGAAGAAGTGGTTCACAGAAAAGATGAAGCATAGCTTGGAAGCTATCTCTTTCAGAAGCTCAACTCCCTAGCTCCTTGAAATCTCAACTTTCTCTATTAGGTTGCTTGAGTGCTTGTAAAAGGCGGCCTCCTTCTCTTAAATACTTACGACTTCCAAATTATTAAAAAATGAAGCTTCCAAAATGATAGAAGCAGTTCTTTTGGTAGAAAAATTGTATAAAATGCCAGCTGAGATCAGTCAGTTAATTTATGATGCCATGCACTTGAGTACTTGTTCCCCATATAATAACTACTTAACGTCAACAAATAAACCAACATTAATGCTTTTACACAACTAACTGACAAGCGATTTAATGAGTTGTAAATATTTTGCCTTTTTTTTTTGCAAGGAGATCATGATTTTCGGAAAAGAAAAATGAATTTTGCCGGTTTACTTGTATAAAAGCTGTTATACCAAACTTGCCATTCTTATTTGTCTCAGATGCTATGTAGTCTGATGGGCATTTTTTCTTGTACTGGATTGGATTTGTTGTCTCAATCCTTTTGAAATAGTCATAGTTCCAAACTAGTGTAGTTATCGATGCTTCATTGGCATGACATGGAGGAGGAGAGGCTCTCTTTGGTGACATCTTTTAAAAAATCTCAAGATTTCTTTTTAACCTCCTCTAATTGAAGAACTGGTTCATAGAAAAGATGGAGCATAGCTTGGAAGCTATCTCTTTCAGAAGCTCAACTCCCTAGCACCTTGAAATCTCAACTTTCCCTATTAGGTTTCTTGAGTGCATGTACAAGGCGCCCTTCTTCTCTTAAATACTTACGACTTCCAAATTATTAAAAAATGAAGCTTCCAAAATGATAGAAGCAGTTCTTTTGGTAGAAAAATTGTTAAAATGCCAGCTGAGATCAGTCAGTTAATTTATGATGTCGTGCACTTGAGTACTTGTTCCCCATATAGTAACTACTTAACGTCAACAAATAAACCAACATTAATGCTTTTACACAACTAACTGACAAGCGATTTAATGAGTTGTAAATATTTTGCCTTTTTTTTTTTTGCAAGGAGATCATGATTTTCGAAAAGGAAAAATGAATTTTGCCGGTTTACTTGTATAAAAGCTTTTATACCAAACTTTTCGTTCTTATTTGTCTCAAATGCTATGTATTCTTATTTGTCTCAGATGCTATGTAGTCTGATGGCCATTTTTTCTTTTACTGGATTGGATTTGTTGTCTCAATGCTTTTGAAATAGTCATAGTTCCAAACTTGTGTAGTTATCGATGCTGCTTCTTACTTGACAGGCAAACAGGTTAAGAAAGAGTGATATGTTACGAAGGTGCCAAGTGGCTCTCCAAGAAGCTAATGCCAACAAAAACCGCTATGGAGATGTCTTACCATGTGTTATTTTATAATGCATCCTTTACTATTTTCTTCAGTTTATTCAGTTCCTTAAGTTCTAGATATTGTTTAGTATCTGATCTATTTTTCAAGTCTAAAATGTGGTAATTTAAACAGCTGAAGTTTGCTTGCTATCCTTTTCCAGTCGATGATTCAAGGGTTGTTCTCAATCAAAATCGGAATAACAAGTCTTCTGGAAGTGGTTATATCAATGCTAGTTTTGTTACGGTATCAATATTGTTCAGTTAGTGATGCACACATATTATTAAAATTGCTTTCAGTGTATCTTGCATGTAACCATTTACTCGTATGGTGTCTTTTGACTACTATAGAACTTTTTGTGTAGAATACTTCCTGTGAAAGACTGCCACAGTTTATAGCCACCCAGGGACCTCTACCAGAAACTTTTGAGGACTTTTGGGAGATGGTAATCCAATTCCATTGCCCTGTAATTGTAATGCTCACTCGGTTGATTGATAATTACAAGGTACTTCATTGTGTCAGATTCAAGGTAATTTCCATATAGTAAATTGAAATGCAATGAGAAGCTAGACTGCGTCTTTCAGAGATGATCATCTGATTGTTGCTTCATTTGATAATTATGGGAATGATAGTTCTGAATGTGTTTGCAAATGTCCAACGACCAGATCGTTGCATTCTAAAAATGAGCTGTTTGGAGTGCTTCTGCCATTGGATTCCTTTCTTCTCCAGAGATTATATGCTATGTTTGTAGTTAATTATGTAATTTTAAGTTGGTGTATTTGCTGTTTCTTTTAAATTCAAACTTCTCTCTGGGCATCCTTTTCTGTATCACTTATTTGTGTGGGCATGTAATGGAAAGGGGTTTCCTTAATCATGCCTAAACCACAGTGTGTGCACAGTATATACTTTTTCTCTGTCACAAAGCAATGGATGTCAAATCCCATGCATTCTAGAAATTATTAGAAGGTTATTCAGCCTTTCTCTTTTGCGTTAGGGGAAGGGCAACTTTATTAGATTCTAACTGATACTTTTTTAGTCAACTGTGTGGTCTTCTGTCTGCTTTTTTGTGCACAGGAGTAGTAAACATACTAAAAAATACATAGTATATGCTATTGTATTTTTTTTTTCAAATACTTTCTATATATTCAACCTTCTTTTGTGATGATTGTTATTGGTGAATGGACTTCTCATCGTATAATAAGTTGTAAATCACATGTGGAATTTTATTGAAGTCTGTATTGACATGTATTTTGTCAATTAAAAGTTCATTTCTATGTTCTGTTAGTTAAACTTCCATCACCATTGTCTCTTGTAGTATGTGTTTCCTCACCATATTTTAGGTTCATTTATGTGTATTTTTTTAATATAGTTTATGAGAAATCTTATTGTCAGCCACATATTATATACAATGAAATATATTTATTTCTTTGCTTTCTTGTCTCGATCTTTACTCATTCTGTTGATTCATGTCATCTAGTCATCAAATCTTGTTTCAATACTATTTGCAAGAGGTCTCTTTTAAAATGTTCCTATTGATTTTATTGACCTTTTTGTCAATTGCTGCCGGTTTGCTGCAAGCATTAGTTCTGAATGTAAAGTTACTTTTCTGCATTTTGGAATCTATATCATTGAACACATTCATGTGAGAAACTTGTGGCCTTCCAGCTGACATATGTTACCTTGAACATATATGTGCTTCCTGTTTTCATGACTGCCCTTCTTTAATTTTGACCATTTATTTCCTATGGATGCATGCCAGCCACAAGAGCAAGCACTTTTCTCTTTTTCATACAATTTAGACCACATGTATAAACTTGATTTATCTCTTTGATATTTTGGTATTGAAACTCTGGAAATAGCGCCCAGTCATGAATTCCTACAATTTTCTCTCCCTCCTTGGGTTGCCAATTGTGCTCTTACAAATCAAATTGGTTTTCAGATGGTGAAGTGTGGTGATTATTTTCAAGCAGACAAAGGATCTAGAGAATTTGGAAAAGTTTGTGTTACTACTAAGTGCATGAAGACTAGTGATAACTCTTTAGTATTGCGCTGCATGGAAGTCAAGCACAAAGAGGTGAGATGTTATAAATATTAATTTAGTCATCAGGATATAAACTTGTGAAATGTGAAATGTGTGATAAGATGTTATTTTTGTGAATATGTCATAATGTTTAAATCTTGTCTTCCCCAAAAAAAAAATCCTGTTTATGTTTTTCTTTGCTTATTAGGGATTGTAATCATAGAAGAGCTGAGGTTTCCGGAAATCCAAATATGATTTGCTGAATTGCTCTTTAGAAATACTTGATAATGCTTGGATGGTAGTTAGAAACCATGGGAAAGCCCTCATTTATGGACTATAGACAGCTCTCGTCAAATGAAAATTATGATCAGGAAACACAACCTTAGCAGCCATGGACAATTTTTGAGGGATGGGCTGCTGAGGAGTTCTGCCCTCTCTTTTCTTCTCCTTCTCTCACTGTCCCTTTTCTGTACACAGACCATGTCACTCTGAGCACCCGAAATGTGGGTTGCCTTTCACTATAATTATACATCACGACTCTCGCAAGGTTTTTGTAATGAATTAGACATTTCTCAAAACATTAAGACAAGGGGTTTAGTTGTTGAAACTTCACGAGGCAAGAGAAGGTAATTTGTCAACTTTTCTTGGTGTCGGTTTAGTTGGATATCTTGTTAGGGAGTAATGGGTGCATGTTTAGAAGGATTACTGCTTGAAATGATTTTTGAGTATCAGTAATCACTTAGGGTGTCACGAGATCTGAGCTTTGGATTTTTAGTATTACTAACTTCTGAGAGATTGGAAGTTGCTGATTCTTCACCGATTTCCTCCTGTACACCATGTCCAGCATGGGCTGCCTCTGGATTATGGACTTTGGCACTTACTTCAATGGGTGCTCCCATCAGAGTCTTGGACAGAGGTCATGGTTGAGGTTCTGATGCCGGAGGCTGGATTCTGTTACTGTACTCAGCTCCCATTGGCTTTTGCAATTCTTCATTTTGTTGGCAAGAGCTCTATTGATGTGCCTTAAGCTTCAGATCCTTGAGTGCGAGGACTTGAATAATTCCTTCACTTGTTAAGAAAAGCTTAGAATCTCAGTAGTCATATATTCTCCCCCATAGTCAGAGCATTCTAAGTGTGTTTCATTTATTAAGGTTCTAAGAACATTTGGAACATCTGACTCAAATGAACAAATACTTATGTAGAGATATAGAGCAGTTGCCAATCAAAGTGACTTCGTATATCGAACTAGTCATGGATAGGACATGAGTTGGCCCTCATACATCAATGGAAGACATCAAAATATTGGTGAACGAACCTGTTTGGGTACCTTAGAACTTCAAGAAAACATCAGCATCAAGTTGAAAAGCTATACATGATTATCGTTAATCCATCCCGAGTATAGAACTGATATAGGCCTCTTTTGGGGGTGGGTATAGGAGGCAACAACTGCACTTCTGTTGGTGGCATACCTGATAAATTTCCTGAAGAAAGGGTCTATTCTCAGCCAGCCTGTTGAAAAGGGTCTATTCTGAACCAACCTGTTGAAACTAAATCATGGCTAATTGGGGAAGGCATGCTTTTTTTTTAATCAGCAACGGTTAATTTTGTTATAAAATAAGTAAATTGAATAAAGAAAGGGAATGCTGTGGCCTTAATGAGATGACAAAGTGGCGTCTTGAATGCTGGAATTGTCAGGCTCTATTCAAAACACATCTTGTGCCACTCCACCATAGGTGAGTGCATCAGCATTCATTTTGGCCTCTCTAGAAAGATGATGAAATAATATGCCCTGTAAACCAAAATTACCAACTATATAGGAAAGCTGCAAAAGCTGAGTGATAAGAAACCACAAAGAACAAAACTAGCTCCACCTTTGATTCAAAAGTTGCAACGCATGAGTGAACCTTTCAGTAGTCAAACAAGTAACCCCTAGAGGATAGAGTAGGTGAAGCAGAAAGCCCAAGAACAGGTCATACGTCCTAGCAACTTACGTTTCCTTCTGTTAAAAAAACTGTCAAAATAGGGAAGCTGTTCTGTAATGCTACCTTAAATGGTCGATGTCCAATATAAAAGGAATGAAACAAAAACTTGAGTAAACAGACCTCTAAGTGAAGAGATACCTTCATGAAAGGGAAAGAATTACGACCAGATCTGCATCATTTGCTGTCTCAATACGATGCTAGACAAATCAGCATGCATTCATTGGTGTTGCATGGAGAAGAGAATGAGAGAAACCCTTTTAAGATTAAGCATTCACCCAGTTTATCATTGAAAGGCTCGTTTGTGAGATTCATAGACGAATTACTTGACTAAGATGCCCTTAGGGTTTAACTGGATGACATGTGAGTATAAATCTAGGACAAAACGTCTCTTGCTCTGTAAGCGTTTATAAACCTCAAGAATATCACCCTTATTTTTTCTCAAAATTGCCATCTAGTTTCCCGTTTCTTTCTTTTTTATTGAGAAAAGTTAACATTGTATTGCTGTAAGGAGATAGAGTACAAAGAGGAGGGGGGGAAGATGGGACTGAGTACCCACGAGACGGGTCTCTTGGTCAAAAAATTGGTCCAGCGGCCTTATACAAAAAATGACCTTGGACCTTCCTGATTACAGAATATGTACATGTGTATTACAAAAAATGGGGCTTATAAGAGTGCCCGGTTACAGGAAAAGTAGATGTGACTAATTACCGCCCTAGACTCCCTCTGTGGTCCAAAGCAAAAAAGGAGATGGACCAGTCGTGGTCTTCGGGACGGGCCCGTGCTCCGTCTTTAGCGAGAAGGTCTGCGAACTCGTTCAATGTCCACCAAGTATGCCACCATAAGACGTTCATATCCCTGCATATGAAATCAATTTCATCAAAAATCATGGAAAGGTACCAAGGAGTAGTTGTAGTGCCTGCAGCCTAGGAAATGACGTTTTTGGAGTCTCCTTCCACTACAAATATTGGGCCCCATGAGTTTAATTATCAATGGGTTTAATCTCCTTTCCTCATCCCTGTCATGGTGAAAACCCCCTCTTTTGTTGATTTCTTGTTCTATTCTTCCCCTTTTGTTGCTATATTCGTTCTGTCATGGATACTTTGCATATTGAAACTTCATATAGTTCTTTAAGTTGATTCTTTGTGTACGAAAGCCCTTAAATTTTCAGAGCTCCAAAATTGATATGGTTAAAGTTAATCTTATTTGCCTCAAATTTCAATTCATCGATTATCCTGTTGGTATATGAGTTACTTGGATGCCAAAACGATAAATGGCTAACAATGTTTACAGTGTACCCCATATGTGCAACAACCGCCAACTTGGTATTCAGAATTCGAAGAGATGCACACAATACCTAGAGGCTGACGGGTGCCACAAAAGAAATGCTCTTCGAGCTTCTCTACGCAGTTCACAATGCTCTGCTAAGACCAATGTTATCAGATTCACTTGGCTTCACTTCGGCTGAAGAGGCTAGAGTCTTCGTATATACAGCCTAAACCGAAGTGAAGCGAAGCTGTGGTGCATTCGCTTCGGCTTACTTCAGGCTGTTTTGGTCTGATTCAGCCTCTTCAACCAAAGCTTTGGCATGCTTTAGGTGAGCATTAAATTGTGTTTTTTTTTTAATTATTTTTTTATTTTCAAATTTTTATTTTTGAAATTTATTATTTTAATATATTTTACATATCAATATATACTTTATTTATATTAAATTTTAAAAGAAATTCTGAAGTCTTCCTTCAAATCAACCAAAGAACTAAATTGCTTCGTTTTTTCAACCAAACCAAAGAAGGCTCCAAAGTGAATCGGATAACACTGGCTATGACTACATGAGAAATCAAGTAGGTCGGGGATGTCTCTCCAATAGTTAGGAAAACATGATTTCTCCTCGCAAACAAATGGTCAAGGCAGTGTTAGCGAGTGCAGGATTTGGACTCGATGCACTATTGCACTTAGGAGTCCATTGCACTATCTCTTCTCCCCCACCTAAATATGCGATTGTTGTGTTCCAGCTGGCCCAGGCCTCGTATATTCCACATAATAATCTTCATTGGTCACCAGGGGGATTAACAGTATGCTGAGAACGGAGCTTAGTTGCAGAACTAGCTGAAGAAGCTAAGGCTAATGCAGAAGAGAGAGAGGGAATTGGGGACGTACCAAAACTGTAATTGACTTCAAAAGAAAGAAGATTGGCCAGCTCTCTTTTTCCTTTCTTGCTGCGAGATTTGGATTCCCAATTGACGAAGTCTTCCAGTACGTCCCTTGGGCCATTAAATCTGAAGCCCATCACCTTAAGACCTTGTGAGGGTTGCCTTGGACTCGGTTCAAGCCGTCGAGAAATACAGAATCAACTGAGGCTGCAAAATACGAGAACTCCTTGCCAGGGATAGCTGATCCAGAAGAAGGAGATGAGAAGGATGAAACGGGAAGGGCATTGGGTGAAAAATTGCACCTTAGAGCTTGAGACGAGCTGCTTCTAGAAGAAAGGGAGAGGAAGGTTGGGGGTAAAGGTGGTGAAGCAACAAAATGGGGGGGACTGGCGAAAGGGAGTAGTGGGGAGAGAAATGGGCATGAGCAAAATGGAAGGGGGGAGGGAATGTGAGGAGAGGATGAGTTCTAGACAGCGGGATCTGCCAAAGGAGGGGAGGGAAGGGACAAGGAATGGGAAGTAGGGAAGTAGACGAGAATGAAGAGGGAAGTAGACGAGAGCCGGAGAAGAGCTACACGAACAGGAAGAGGGGGCCGCACCAAAGGTTTCGATTTGGGAGGAAAAGACTGTAGCCAAGTGTAGGTCAAGAAGCTCGCCACTTGGCGAAATGCCGGTGGGAGAGAAAAGGAGGGGAGCAGGGACCAAAAGGGGATTAAGGGAAACGGGCGGGGCAGACAGAGGGTTTGAAGGTAACGGCGAGGGATTGGTGAAGAGGTGGTCAGTCGAGGGATCGACATTTGTCCCAAGGGGAACGACAGGATGGAGGCAAGAAGGTGCGGAAAGAGTGGTGGGCAGGTAGGGCTGTCAGGTACTAGGGGCTACGTGTCGACCCATTAGGAAAAGCAGCTGGCATGGCAGACTGCGAAGCCATCGATGTTGCTTCCTGGGAGATTGACGGATGGATGGTACTCCCAAGCCTCTGCACAACTGGACTGGGTAGACGGACCTGCAGGGCCACGAAAGAATGTTGAGGGAAAGTTTTTTGGCTGGGAACCTGGGGGACCCTTCAATGATGGGGGCGACGGGGTGGATGCTTTCTCTTCACTAAGGTCCATTCAGGCTCAAGGGAGGGGGGGGGTCCTGGTCACGGAAGGACATGCTCTAGACGCAAAGCGATAGAGATCATGAACATGGCGATGAGAAGGAGGCAATGCACAGGATCAAGAGATTGGGATTTGGAAGAAGAACCCATCAATTTCCAACCAAAGAGCTTGGGGGATCTGGGCAGGAATTAGAGCGTCCACCAGCAACTGAATGGAGCCGAGAGGGAGAGACCCAGCAGACTTCCAATCCACTGCAATGAACTTTCTGCAGGCTTCTCCAATGCGTTAGAAAGTATCTATGTTCCACACATGAAGAGGAAGGGAAGAGGCTAACAGCCAGATCTTTTGTGGGACCGCTGCTCCCATCATCTTGTTGCAGCTTGTGAGGGAAAGGGCAGCACCATGAAAAGACTCTTTCTGGCTCCTCAAGACTTCGAGCATCTTTTCCTCTATGGGGAAGGAGAAGAGGAAATCCCCTGAAGAGAGCTTCCTGCAAGAGAGAGCTGAGACATCCCAAGTCTCAGCTGCCCACCTCTGAACTCCTTTGGCATCGTTGTGTGCAGGCTGGAACCAACCAATAAGCAAGAACCTCAAAGCTTTCTCCAGGTGAGAGGCATGACTGCCTCCAACGGGGATGGAAAAAGGAGCAGAGAGGGGTGGGCAGGGATATGGAGGAGGCACCTGTGGCTGGGATTTATCAGGGGTAGGAGGCGAAAAGGATTGCGGAGCCTGCAAGATGTAAGCATAGGAGGCATTGAGTTGGGGTTGGAGTGGAAGCGGCGAATGGAGGGCGGGCAGCGAGAAACAGGTGGCTGGGAATGGGGAAGAGAAGAAGAGGAACTGAGAGGTTGGGGGCGAGAGGAAGGTTTTTGGGTGGGGATGAGCTTGGTGTAAGATTCATAGAGAGAAGGGAAAGATGAGGTAGAGTGTTTCCCTCGGGGGAAACTCGAATGAGGGGGGTGGGTTGAGGGTGAGGGGTGATGGGGGTGGCAGGGAGCTTGCAGCTGTGAGGGGTTATGGGGGCGATGAGGCATTGCAGAGCGGAAAACCATCTCCCTCATATCAATTCTCCTATTGGCCTTTTAGATTCCTTCTTTTTATAATTAAAGCACTGAGACAGAACCAGTTAACTAACTGATGTTAGTCACTGTGGAACATATGTTCGCACCATTCATCAAGCGGCATTCATATTACTTCAACTGATCATCAATTTCTGCAATTTGGCTACTATCTCCAAACCTTACTCGAGTCCTGGTAGGCTGATACACAAATTTGCAGGAGTGCCTATCTTTATTAGGACTCCACTTGTCCCAAATAGGAACAGAGCATAAATGACACAAGTAAACTGTTCTCCTAATCCATGTACTACATGAGTACAATCATGATTACGAAAATGTAGAGGAAAAGACATGCTGATCCTAGAAGCAAATGACGCATTGCCTTTGATCCACAAATGCCTGCCATAACCCCTATGCTTAAGGGTTGACAGTGATGCACTTGACGTCATTTTGTAGGCAAGGATAGTTCAGTTTCCTGGGGGGAATGTGATTGCTTAAGCGATATTTTTTACATTTAGGATTTTCTTTGTCGAGTAAAGCTGGCTATTAGTTCTCCAAATATCTTAGAAAGCATTTGGGCCTTTGAAAAATATTCCAGAGTTAATAGTCCTTTTTTGAATACACAGCTCTTAACTCTATGTTGCATGGACACAAGAATGTGTGTCAGTGTGTGAAATGGGGATGGTGTATTTGATCCCTCATACCATAAAAAAGAGAATTTGGCCGCATGGCTATGGTATGATGAGACAACCAACTTCAACTATGTTTTACTAATATTTCATTTTGTGATGAATAGCAACAAACAATCAATTATACCTGAAAGGGTGCGATTTGTATAAGGCGACAGGCGAGAACAGAGCTACCTGCTATTGGCTGCTTTGCCTATCTATTCTATTATGGCCGCTTGGAGACATCAGAGGAAGACCATCATCTATTCCAACGAGTGTCATTAGGCCTCGCTCCGTGCTTATGCACTTTGCGAGTGCTTTGGGAGAGAGCGCTTAGACAATTCTCTTTGAGTACAGGGAAGTCAGCTGGGAGGAATTCCTCTGGGCGTAAGGCTGAGGCCCTAAACACTCAAAGTAAGGCGTACCTTCAAATAGTGGCGGAAGCTGTTGTTTCAGTAGTAGAAATCTTTGGGATGGCTTGAAAATCTATTTTCATTTCTAGTTATAAAATTTAAAGCTTTAAAAATATTGTAGATCAAGCAGTTCTATTAACACTTGAAAATCTTGAAAATTGACCGTCCAAAAAATGCATCACAAGATGCACTAATTCTAAGATTTAAAATTCATTTTTCGAATGTTCCATACATCTCGAGGTCAAAATGATTAAATTTGAGAATTTTTGGGGGGCATTGAAACAACCTATTCTAGTCAATTTTTTATGTGTGCCTTAATTTAATTGTTTAGGGCCTCACCCTTATATAAACTTTTTCTTACCTGAAATGGCTGAATCCGTATATATTTTCCAAGTTCGATGGATATTCTTTTTTCAAACTTCAAAGGTGTCTACTCCAAACAGAAAATATCAGGTCTCTAAAATGATGTAATCAGTGGTTAATCGTGAGGAAGAATCCAGAGGAATCTCTACTGTTATGTGTCATTACAGTCAGACACAGCACAGCACCCAAACAGAAGAATCCATGTAACATAGCTCATATCCCTTCTTCACTTTTTTGTGACCATGTTGCCTGGAGTGATTACTTGGGATTTGAAGGAGCGAATTGAATTTAATGCATTTATTTCATTGGGTTGTCGAATATGTTTATTTTGTTTATCCTGTTTCTGTATTATGGTGCAATGTATGCCATCCCTGTTGAAAGAAAATCTGTGCCCCTATTTGGAATCAGCTGAGTAACTATGATCATTATGCCAGTTACATTATGTCGATAAATTGAAATAGACTGTGTGGCCTCAAGTTAGCAAATAATCTCTCCTTCTCTCCCACCAAGTAGTGCTATCATTCTCTCCCAACCATTAGTGCCTGGAACCTTTTTCTCTGCTCCTCCCCCCCCCCC